ACCACCCCATGCAATGCTAGAGTCTTGTGGAAGAGTGGCTGGAAGGCTGCTCAGCACAAAAAGACCTGGTGGTGTTGGTCGACAGCTGCTGAACATGAGCCAGCTTGCGCCCAGGTGGCCAAGAAGCCCAGCGGCATCCTGGCCTGTATCATCAACAGCGTAGCCAGAAGAGCAAGGGCAGTGATCATCCCCCTGTACTGGGCACTGGTGAGGACACATCTTGAATCCTGTGTTCAGTGCTGGGCCCCTCACTACAGGAGAGCCACTGAGGTGCTGGAGCAGGTCAGAAAAGGGCAACAAAGCTGGTGAAGGGTCCAGAGCACAAGTCTGATGAGGAACAGCTGAGGGAACTGGGGCTGCTTATCCTGAAGAAAAAAAAGGAGGCTCAGGGGAGACCTTATTGCTCTCTCTACAACTACCCTAATTAAGGTTGTAGTGAGGTGGGGTTGGTCTCTTCTCCCAAGCACAAGATGTGTGGAAATGGCCTCAAGTTGCACTAGGGGAGGTTTAGGTTGGATATTAGGAAAAACTTCCCAGAAAGGGTCGTCAACCATTGGAAAAGGCTGCCCAAGGAAGTGGCTGAGTCACCATCCCTGGAGGTATTTAAGAGACATAGATCTGGCACTCTGGAACATGGTTTAGTGGTGGGCTTGGCAGTGCTAGGTTAATTGTTGGACTCCATGATCTTAAAGGTATTTTCCAACCTAAACAACTCTATGATTCTATCTAAATTTGTATGTCAAATTTGGTAACCATAATTTAATTTCTAGGCTGTGCAATTGTGCAAACATAACTTTACAATGTTTCAGCATATATTTAAATATTTGACACCTAAATGGAAGACACAAAACTATTTCAAAACCTTAGACAAGAGACTAAGCAGAGCAGAAACACAATTTGTGCTCAAATTTTACATTTGGTAACCCAATATATTGTAAATATAGAAATCACTCACTTATAGCATATACAAAACCAAACAATTTTAATAAGAAAGACACCGTGTACTGTAAGTGCAGAATTGTGTGTACAAGGTATTATCACACTAATAGGGAAGTATACAATGGTGCACACACAAAACCCCACTCAATATGCGTTCTTTTTTTTATTTTATTCCAACAGCATCTGCTTCAGGCTACTGTCAACACAAGCATACCAATAAATGGACCATCTCTGCTCTGATCCTGCATGCTTTTTAGATGATTCATTATAAAATATCGAATTCTTCAAAATAAATGCACATCATAATGCAGAGAAACTTTAGGACAGAGTATTTACTAATACAGTACTGTAGGGTCACCACAACAATCAGGGGTTGGAACACACAACTCATGAGAAGAGGCTGTGAGAACTGGGCTTGTTTAGTGGAAAACTGTTCCCAAACTCCTTCCACAGTCCAAGAAGAGGCTACCTGGAAGACTCTACTCTAGTGCATAGGACAACAAGACAAGACTGTGATACAGAGCAGTTAAGACTTGAAATCAGGAGAAAATTTTTCACTATGAGGATAATTAATCTTTGAGCAGGTTGCTCAGAGAGGCTGTGGAATCTTCATCCTTACATGTTTTCATAATCCAGCAGCACAAAAGCTTAGGCAAACTGCTCTGAATTCAACATTTATTCTGCTTTGACAAGGAGATCGACTGGTCAACACACCTCCAGAAACCCCCTCCAGGAGGAACAAGCCTGTGATTCATACCAAACTCAAGTGTATTACCTCTGTGTTTCAGGATACTTGTTTAAAGACAAGCTGCACTTATATTTTAATCAAATAGACTTCATTTAACTGAACTATTTTATTTCAACCTCTGGAAGGAATGTATTAACCATATGAATGTTAACAATCCTCACGCTTTTCAAAAGTCACTTTTGCACCATAGCAAATACTTCCCTTTCAGATGTTTCAAGACATGTAAGCAAGTTATAAAAAGATGCCATTTCAGTAGAGGCTTCGTGCCAATGTCTTATTTAGGACATCAGATTTACATTGTTAGCTATTTGCATTATAACGAAACAAAGATGAACACCGAGGAAACACTGAAACAGAACATGAATTATTTTAAACATGAATACATTTCCTATGCTACAGCTTTTCCACCTTTAAATGTTTTCAAGATTCAGGTTTTGGAGGAAGATACAAAGTATACCACCAGGTATTAATTAGCGCTGTTCTGGTCTGAAATCACTTGATTGCGAGTTTTTTGTAATTGTAAGCTTACAGCTCTAAATTCACATTTAATGTATGTCTGCATTCTGATTCACAAAGTTCTTTAGTATCTTTACGAGAATACGTAGAAAATTGGTAATTCTCAGGACTGGAAACACACGAAATAGTTGTACAAAGGATCTTAAACTGAGTTTCTACCACTTAATTCTAGCACATATACTAAATCCAAGTAATACAATTTTGGATAAGCATCATATCTGGTCACTATTCTCAAATTTTAAAGTCATTTTAAAGTTTAGTTTAAAATTTAATTTTAAAAATTTCAGAACTAGCTTAAAAAAAAAATCCTTTCTCTGTAGCCATCCAAATGGTATTGCTAATTCCACAGAAGATTAATAAAAGACTGTAGTATTAATTTTATCTTTTATTCTTTCAAAGCAATCTTGAAATGTGAAACAGGACCCCTGTAAACACTTGCGATCAAGAACAGATTCGTTTGTACCCTAAAGGCCACTGAAGTTCTGACTCCATTTCTTTGTGACCTGTATGAGTCAATATTGTACTCCAGGACACACAACTGCTTCTTTCACTTCCCAGATTTAAAACAGTGCATCCACTTTCTCATGTCACATCCACCCCATATCCTACACTGTGTAAACACCTTGGCAAATAATGTAAAATTGAAGGCCACAACTGAACCTCTTTAAAATAGGTTGCCAAAAGGCTTATAAAACGTTTAATCCCACCTACACTAAAACCAGTTTACTATGGAACTAGTTCTAACGTATCTCCCCAGAACAGATCAGAAGGATTAGACTTATGCAAGCTTTTGTTTCTCTCCCCACTGCAGAAAACTGTACAAACGTAACACACTTGATCTATGAAAATATTAATTCCCAAGTTTCTGAACAGAAGCAAACGGACACAAACACAAACGCAAACGGAGCCTTACAGGTCGCCAGGTGTTAAATTCCATAGTCAAATACAAACAACAAAGGAATGTGCCACTGGATCCACCTAGGTGTATCAACCATGCACAATTTACTCCCTCTACAAAGCCTAAACTCTGAAAACCAGGCTGTATCTCAAGCGCGCACGGTACCAGGCACATGGCTTGCGATTGACACGGGACGGACCAAAAGCGTGGCTCTACCTCCCGCCTTTGCACGGTCTCTCAAGGCTATATTATAAAACTCCAACCACACCCACCCATGATGTCACTGCCATTACACAACCTGTCCCCCTCCATGCCTGTGTGCTTATGCAACTGGGCCCGGCCTGCTGGGAATTGTCTTGGTGACACTTACGACTGAAAATAGGTCTCTCTCAGGAAACAAGGTTAAATACAGCAAGAGAATTTCTCTTGTCTGTGCGCAGCGATTACTAAACACAAGACAAAACAAAGCCCACAAACTCTTCTGAAAGCAAGTCTCACGAAAGCATGTGGGAGGGGAAACTAGAAAAAAGAACATGCAGACCCCGTGTTGCACGTTCCTCCAACACCTCTGAAGCATACGCCACTACCAGGCTTGACGCTCAGCTGAGCTCCTAACAGCCTCGCGTCCTGCCATCGGTCCCTCCTCCGATCCGCCAGACTATGGAGGAACGTCCCTTAATTCCTCTCAAAGTCGAGAAAACTTAGGGTGTTCTTTATAGTCCATTTCAATCACGGACAGCCTCAACAGGAGAGAGGGGCTGAACGGCAGGAAGCAAGCACACACCTGCCTAACCCCACCACGCTTGGAGGCCCCCCGAGCCAGCCGTGCCTCGCCATCAGTTCACCACGGTCCTGCTGGGGCGGGGAGCGGGACGGGAACCCGCGGGACAGGCAGAGGGAGAGCCTGCTCCGCACAAGCCTTACCTGCTCGTAGGGCCTGACTGGCGACGCCCAGAGCCTCTCGGAAGCGGCCCTGGGACAGCAGCTCCTCTAGCCGGCGTCCGGTCCTCGCTCTCTCGCACTCGCCCGGGAACCACTTCTCCGCGAGCCGGTTGAGGACGACGCTGGTCCGCAGCGGGGCCGCGGCCGTGCTGGTGCCCCCCGCCGGCAGCAGCCAGTCCCGGCAGCGGCGGCAGCGGGCCCGCAGCTCCCTCCGGAGACAGCGGCGACAGTAGGTGTGCCCGCACGGGACGGTGACCGGCTCGCTCAGGAACCTGCCGCAGCCGCAGCAGCGCAGCGGCCCCTCGGCCGCGATCCCGGTCTCCGCTGCGGCCCCGTGGCCCCTTCCCCAGCCTAGCCCCTGCCGCAGGCGATAGTTCAGCACCAAGCACTCCACGAGGGTCCCGAGGCGCTGGGGTCCGGCGAGGGGCCCGAGGCACAGCGGAGCCAGCGGCGCGCCCACCACTTCCTTCAGGCGGCTCCCGGGCACCAGTCTCTCGCCCAGCCGCGGGGGCAACTCCCGCGCTCCACCCGCCTCCTCTCCTGGGGTCCCGCTACCGCCCGGCTCCGGCGACATCTCCGAGCCCACAGCCACGGGAGAGAACGCCATCGGCTGCCCGGCTCCGGCGAGGGGGTGTGGCGCTGCTGCTCCGGCCGCCGGGCTCGGCTCCGCGCTGAGGCACTGACGGCACGGGGCGGGGGAAGACGAGGAGGAAGCACAGCACCCCCCTGAGGGGAGGGAAGGGGGGGGAGTGGGGTCACGTGCGCGCCCCCGCGCGCGCGCTCCCCGGGGCCACTGTCCCCCCCACCCCGCGAGTACGGCGGCAGCGCGCGGCCCCCCGTTCAAACCTCTCCGCCGCGCGCCCTCAGCCCCGCCGGCTTACATAAAACGCCGCGTCAGCTGACCGCCGCGCGGGCTGGCCATTGGCCGCGGGCGGCGGCGCCGGGGGGGAGGCGGGGCCGCAACATGGAGGGAGGTTACAAAACACCGCTCCACGCGCGCGCCGCACCGGGGCGGGGTTGGCGCCGGGCGGCCGGGGACCGAGTCACGTGGGGTGAGGAGGGGAGGGTCGGGTCCGTAAGGGAAGGGATCGGCCCCATGTGGAGGGGGTGCTGTGTGCTCTCGCGGTCCTTCCCGCCCCGAGGCTCGGGGGAGTGGGAGAAGGAGGGGGTGGGAGTTTGCCGGGGCAGAGGGACGGGCCTTGCGGGGTCCCGGTTGGCTCCCGGGAGCAGCGCCGCTCTGGTGAGGGCGGCCGCGAGGGTTGGGAGTCAGTGGCGCTGCTGGGGCTGGGTGGCGGGCAGGAAGCGGGGGGAAGCTGCCCGGCGCGGAGGGGTGGAGCCGCCTGGGCGGGGTTGTGGCTCTCCAGCGGGTCACCGGGGGTGGGGGGGGCTGCAGCTGTGCGGCGCTGGGGGAGTTGTTAGCGTGTGCTGCGGGCAGCCCGTACGTGGACGCCTTCTCTATCTCCCCGCGGCTGGTGCTCGCACTCCGGCCGCTTGGGCTGGCTCCTTGTCTTTCTCTGTTAGAGTTTTAATGGAGGTGAAAGTTATGAGACAAAAGCTCGTCGTCCGTATGTGTGTATTTACCCATCGTTTCGACCGTTTCCAGCGCTTTGTGTAGCGTCCCCGTGGGATGGGGGCCGATGTTCTCATTCTGTAAACCCGTGTGCATCTGCCGTTACAGCTGGTTGATGCAGTAAACTCTTTTCTGCGAGTGTAAAATAGCAAATCCAGCGCTTCTGGGGAAGTACCAGACCTATTGGACCTAAAATGGTACAGTACATTTTGGTAGGGACACGTTTAGGGTTTCCAGATGTAAGCTTTAATGAAAGCTTAAAGTCTGATGCATAAGTGTTACTGTGTTTACAGTAGCTCTTTTCTGCCCTTTTTTTGTTTTTGTTCGAAGCGGTCATAAATCTAGAAATCTCAAGTAAATATTCCAGTTCCTCTAAAATCTTCCAGGCAAAGCTTGCACATCAGGGAAATTAATTTATGGCCTTATGAAAGGAAAGATTTGTCTTCAGTTGTATTTCACATACAGTGGGCTGGAAGATGATACTGAAGATGTTATTTGGATTTATGTCCAGGTGGTTTGCCTGAGCTCAGCCACTCTATACTGCATCTTTTGCCTTTCTGTTGTCTTTCATGTTCCTGAAGTCAAAGAAATAAAGGTGTTACAATGATTGAAATATGTGAGAGAGCACGGTATGTTTTAAACATGGATAGGAAAGGTAATTTCAAAAATGGAGTTAAGAAGTGGCAGACTAAGGAAAGATCAAAGTAAAAAATGCCTTTAGTGTGAACTTGAATGGCAGCAGGATGGGGTAAAGTGCACTGAATTGTTATGAATAGTTTTAATGGGTTATGAATTTTGTTTCAGGTGTGTCAGGTGTGAGTTGGCCCTTCACAAAGTGTAGGGAGATAAGCAGAGAATTTAGATAGAAGCAAAACTGAAAGAAGTACTGTGGACAGTCATCAAAAGGAATGGGAGTTCACTGTGCCTTTTAGATTAGATTGCATGTGGAAATGGAGAAGAAAAATAAAACGGGACAAAGTTCAAGGGCTTGTGGGACTTCCTTCAAACACTGGAGTTAGAATTCTAAGGTTGTCCTCTAGGAGCAGTTAAGATCAAGAAGAAATTAAAACCTCTTTCTTTCCACTATTGCCACTTCCAATGATTCCTTTGCAAGTTCATGTGTTAGCATTTATACTGACAATTCTAGGAATTTTGTCAGCTGCAGTCAGCTATTTTTCATAATTCCCCATGTATGGGAACAGTGTACTCATGGCATTGCCAGCCTTGGGGGCTTGGATCAAAAGAGTTGATTTTTTTTCCCATCATCTTTCACTTCAAAACAACTAAAAACAGTGAAAGAGAGTTAGAGTAGGATGGATGAATAGATGAATAGGGAGCCTGACATCTTAAACTGCTCCCACCAGTTGCAGAAATCTTAGTACATTTGTTCAGAACTTGCACTTTCTGCTAGCAGTACTTACTGTCACAGTAACCCTTCTCTGTCTCCTGATGCTTATGATATGTTCCTGCTCCGGCAGGGGGATTGGACTAGATGATCTTTTGAGGTCCCTTCCAATCTCTAACATACTGTGATACTGTGATACTGTGATACATGCTGTTCAATATATTCATAGTCACCCTTACTGTCTTAAGTCTCTCCTGGACACTCAGGGCTTCCATGCGACAAGGGGAAAAGAAAGTTTTTCAGGTTTAGGTAGAAAAAAGATTTATTTTTGCCTAAGTTCTTTGTGGTTGTAGAAAGTTGTTGGAAGTTAATTAGATTAAAGAAACAGGCTTCAAATTTGATCTTAAAATGCATGTCAGCAGTATGCTGCAAGAATAGAGGGAATCCTCTGGATATCAAGTAATTTTGGAGCCTGGCATCCTATGGATGGGTTCAGGAGGAGAATGCAGAGAGTCCAGAGAATTCAGAAAAGAATCCATTACATAAAATCACTTTTGTGTCTGGAAATCCCCAAGACATAGATTTCTGGAATCTAGGAGATTATGTTGGGGGAAATCTGATCATTCACCTCATCCTTATTCTCTACACTTTCATTTTTATCACAGTTGGAAGCAAGGGTACTGGACTGAGTTGGACTTTCGTATTACCCAGTGTGGTCATTCTTACATCTTTAAGCTACAGCTGATTCTTAAAAGCTTTGCCTTTTGTTGTATTGTTTCACCTTTTCATATTAAACTGAACAAGAAAAAACTTGATTTTCTAATCTTTCACTGAGTTACTGATAGGATGTGATAGTTATGTAAGAGGAAAAGAGAGACATGCGATTTATTACTAGATTAGATAACACACATGGCTCCACCACCACTCCATTAAAAATAGCATGCACACAAAAATCTGGGGTTTTTTGGTTTTATGTTGTTTTTTTTTCCTCGTGTAGGGTCAGAGAAATTATATTTAAAACCAAAATTAAACCATGACATTGTGCTTTTCACATGGGCCATTCTAAGAAACACTTCAGGGATTGTCTTTTCCGTTTGCCTACAACTGCTGATGTAAGTCTTGGTCATCCTCATTCAGAAAGGTACCTACAAAGTACCATGCTTTCAGTACAGTGAGGTAGAAGTACATTGCTTTCTTACAGTTTGTAAGCTGTTGCTCAGATGTTTCTATAAGCAATTCCTTGTACAGGTAGAGTGTGCAACCCCATTAAATATGACAAATAATAGAACCATAGAATGGTTTGGGTTGGAAGAGACCTTGTAGATCACCTAATTCCACCTTCCTGCCACAGACTGGGACACATTTCCCTAGCCCAGGTTACTGGAAGCCATGTCCAATCTGGCCTTGAACACTTAAAATAGTGGTTTAAGTTGGTGCTTGACCATATGTGTAATTATGCTGATTTAAGAGCTTCAGAAATCAACAGGAGTATAAACAAAATAAAGCAAAACTGAGCCCAGCTAAAGCAAAGGCAGTGGCAATTGGTGGACCTAAAATTAATACCTATGTTCTGGAAATATGAAGGTGTGCCCTTTTTTTTGCAGTCTTGGTATGTATCCCGAGAAAAAGTGGTTAACCCAATGAAGGTAGTTGTAATCTAAGACAAATGTGGTAATAGCTTTCTGGCTGTTTGCCCTTTATTTCTTTGAAGGTAGTTAGCTAGCCAGCTGTTGTCACTTTTTGCCAAGGTATGTGTAGCAAAGGCAAAATAAAATGGAGAAAGATTAGATTAGGCAAATAAGAGTCATATGCTTTAAAAAAACCCCAATTCCTCAATGGCTTTTGAAGGCCTTAGCTGCTGATGTTTGAGTCACTTCAGCTGTGGCTAGGAATTAATGAATGCTCAGAACCAATTTGGTTTTGTTTTGTTTCAGTTTGTTCTTTGTTGCTAAGTAGACTTTTGGGGCTTCAGTGATCTAGTTCTGGCAGGCAAACTTTTAAATGGAAAAACACTCAGCATCGCTGCTGGAAAACAAATGCTAACCTTTGTGCAACAGTGTTGGGCAGAAGTTGGCTTTGAGTAGTAGTTGGTTTTTTTTTTTAGGGACAAGAGGCCACAAAGCTACATTTGCAGCTCGGGCTTGGTGGTTAGGGTGAGCTGAACCAGGGCTAGGCTGCTGCCGCTTTCTCTGGCATTTCTGTACAGCACAGCAGTATGGGGTTTAGTGGATCTTAATTCCCTTTGAGAAAATTTGAGCTGTGGGTTCTCAGTCCTTTTGAAATAAGTCCCTTAGTAAGTTATTTAATTACGCTTGGTAATTATGTATGCACTGGTGAGTATAAAAGCCTCCACCAAACAACTACACATGAGATAAACAGTTAACTACATGTTAGAAAGACAAGTATCTCATTAAAAATAAAAAGGGAAGCAAAACATAATAGGATCTAAAATACTTAACCAGGTAGAGTAAAGACAGAGAGAGAGAGTTTATTGGCTAGATCCAATAAAGGACTTAAGTACCTAAAGCAGGATTTAGGGAGAATTCAGGTCCCTAAGTCAAAAAATGCGATCCAAGAAATCTTGTACAGCTGCTACCTAATGCAGGAGATGCCTAAAATCAGAAGGCTCTTCCTTGATTTTACTTTCTATCTCTGCAGTGTCTAGGATTTTACTTCTGTGCACATTCAGAAGTGGGTTCTGTGTATGTTCGGTGCTAGAGCAGTTTAGCATCTATTTCCCATTCAGCTATTTACAATTCTCTGTTGAAGGGCTGTTTTGTCAGGACATGGCAAGCAGACATATTCAGAGAGTCTGAATTTGGCTGCTTGCTTTTGATGTGAAGGATGGGGGCATTGAGTAACCTTTTAACAACCTGTTAGGTTACTGATAGAAGAGTTGGAAGATTCAGTTTTGTTTGCTCTAAGAATGTTCAAAGGCATCTCCTCCCTCCAAGTAATCCATCTTAAAGTGACTGCACGAATTTAAATTGTCTTGGAAGCATGAATTAGAGATGAGGATGTGTCACTCCCTACTAAATGCCCTATTTCTTGGGATAAATCTCACGTTGCTTCTGTTCCTACAGACTACGGAATTCTTTGCTTCAGTAGCACAACTTTAACAGGAATGGAGCAGAGCTGTCAGTATTTCCAGTAGGCCAGTTTCTTGCTGGGTAGGATCACTTTTCTGCCATATGTTGACTTGAATCTTTTTTTGTTTAATGGGGATACACAGCAACAATGGGCTGCTATATGCAAGGCATTTGTTTTCTCACAACCTTCTGTTATCCTGGCAGTGATTTAACAGAATATGGCAAGCCCTGCTCCATGTTTTTTCAACAGAATGGCAGTTGAATCCTACAGTTAAGAAAGGACTCTGGGCTGTGAATTGTAAGCACCCGTATTGTCTGTGTCTTGGCCTGAGATAAGTTTCTAAGGAGTTGGCAATAACACTGCTGCGTTTTTTGCAGACTAGCATTAAGCAACCATGATGCCTCAGGGCAGTACTGAACTTCTTCATACATACTGTATGGCATACTTGTGTATTTTGTGTGGGCTTCTGGATTCTTTGTTGGAAAAGGAAAAACAGAAAACTGAAGAGCAGGTTGCAGCCACATGATTTTAGGTGTCCAGTTAACTTGTTCATTTGCTTGTAGCAGGTTTGAATGTATTCCCTTCTAAAATTATACATGGTTTTTACAGTATTGGCATGTTTGAGTACATACGGGTATGTTTGTATAGATATTGATATCAACTGCCATTGATAAGTGCGGTTTGGTAAATCTGGCAATTATGTTTTGAAGTTGTGGAAATACTTTGACTATCCTGGGAACACCAGTAAGTGGAGTCACTTACTTCCTTGTTTTCTTGTTCACTGTATTTATTTTTTTCCCCATATATGATGCTATGTAGTTGTTCATTCCAAAAGCTACAGCTGAATGTTTCTACGTGTGCAGAGCAGCAAACTTGAAAAGTTTTAAGCAACCTTCTAAAAGGTTTTATTTTAAATTTCTCCAGTTTAAAAAAGTAATTTAGCTCCGGATGTGACATGAGTCATATTTGTCTTTTCTTTAGGAAGAGAACCCTTGGACTGATTGGACTCCTTCTTTCTGCCATTATTGCCTGGTAGGAGAGTCACATAAAATCTGCAGATTTATAAAATTAGCTAAATATTCAGTGGGATATTTGCTCCTATTAATATATATTGTAATTATTCAAATAATAATGCACTTACAGTGTGAAATATAAAATTTAAAGAGATAGCTCTGACTAATGATTTATTCCTGAAGTTAAAACTTTTAGTGCAGGACTGTAACTGAATAATGAACAAAAAGCAGAACAGCAGCTAAAGAAGTGCTAAAAAGACTTTAATTAAATGAGGACTTTTTTTTTTTTTTTTCAGTGAAAGCTACTCACTAAAAAGGGGAAAAAAGCAAGTCAGTCAGTGTTCTTTTCAGTTTATCAGGATGTTTTCCTTCAGCTGAAAGTTGGTGGCTAACAATTGTGTTGCATATACTGATTTTTTTTTTCCTGGGTGTTAATGTATTCACATTAAAGAACAAGCTGACTATTTTTAAAGAAATGTATAGCAAAAGATAATGATTGGCATGTGTTCTCTGTTCTTGTTTGAAGTTTAAAGAACAATTTATTTTGGTATCTGTTTTATATTCACTAATATTTTCTAATATGCTTGCTGATACATATATTCTCTATTATATCACTTGCTATCAAGTTGGATGTTTTGATCTACTTACGATCATCTTCTGATATAAATTATATTGAGATGTTTAGTTTTGAATATATTTTGCTATATAGAGTTCTTTTAAAATTTGTAATAATTGTTGCTGTTCACTGTGATAAAATTTAAGAAAAGTGTGAAACAATTACAGTCATTACATCATATTTGCATTAAAAGTCTGCATGTGTTGCAAACCCAGATCTTACAGCAGTGGAGAAGGGAAGAAAGAAAGCTTATTATGCTTAATATTTAGCCTCATGGAAAAAAAGTTATTTTCTGTGTAGTCAGTAATAAAAGTGGAATTAAATTTAGAGTTTTAGTCAATAAAAATACATTTTAAGAAACACATAGAAATCAGAAAAGACTTCACGACCTGCTTATAGTGGTAAGTGAAGAAAAAAAAATGATTTGTTACTACTGGACTGGACTTGAGGCTGGAGTGGGGTATCATGTTGTTGACTGATTGTCAGGTACCTTTGCACATAACCAGACAGTGTATGTCAGTGCTGCTAGTACTAAATAAATCACTGAGCTTCCAGCTAGTTAATGATAAAGTTACTAGTCTTGAAAAATTCAAAAGGAGTTGAAATAGCTAAAAATTTGGTTTTACTTATTCTTCTTAGATTGACTCTTTAGAATCGGAGAAGCAACAGCTCCTTGTCTTAAGTATTTCTCATTCATAAAGTTCCGTAGAGTTTTCGTGTATATCTATTTCTTTCTTATATAATGAGCATCCATTTTAGAGTGCTAGGCAATTATTTCCCATCAGTGAGAACAGACAATATATGAATTTTCTTCAAAGATTATGAATATGTAAATGTAGTGTTACGTGAAGAAAGTCTGACCTGAGAAAAAAGTGACTACTTTAAATTTTACCAAGGTGGCAATAAACATTTATTTAATCAAATAGCCTAATTGGCAACAATTCATCTCTTGGCAACAAGGTGAGTATTACAGTTCCCACTCCTTTCTACTTTGGGTCGTACTTGTTTGCTGTTATTTATGTCTGATTTGCATCTTGAACATTAGTAACATCACATTGTGCTCTATAGGCTGAGGTATCGCAGCCACATCTTTCCAGCCTTTTCTTACAAGCATACTGCAGGAAGTGTGTGCCACTTAGGCCAAAGACAGCAGGTGACAGAATTGAATTTGGGGATATTTTTTTCCAGTGGAGCATGGGATCATGCAGGAGAGAAGTGAATGCTCTCAAATTCTTCATTTCAGCCTGATTGTTTAAAGAACCCATAGTGTTTCAGTATTTCTCCTTTACCATATTTATACAAGATAAATTTGTATCTGATCTTTGGCTGTTGTCCACTAACGATCTACATAGAGACAATAAACCACCTCATTTAATTTCACTTCTATTCTTGAAAAAAACAATAAAACATTATTTTGTGCTTCCAACATATATTGGACATAATTTGTCCATGCAGTGGTACTAAGTTTCGGTCATATGAAACTAGGCTCATCACACTTTTCTTATAGGTGGCTCTGTATCAGGTAGCCCATCCCAAATGGATTCTGTCTCATCTGTTCTGTCTTTTTCATACTACATACAAGCATTACATTTTAAGCATCTTTTTTAATGATTTTGTCCCTCAATTCCTGATTGTCCAAGAAGGGTTTCACAAGAGCTCAAAGACTGTGATAAGGTCATGCATATGAGAGTATTTTTTTAAATGACATAATGTATTCTATTTATTTTCATATTTCTACCTCCTATCAAAACAATCACAGTCCTTTAAGTGAACAACTTATCCTGCTGTTTTTCAGGAGCGTGCTGGCATGCATTTTTGCTGAGCCGGTACTGGTAGATCAGCCCCATTTCACACACAGCTCATGTCTGTACTTCTCTGAAGAGCTGAAAACCTAACAAGCTGTTGTCTTTGTTTTCCTTTGTGATGCATTGCAGACCCTTCTTATGAGAGACTACTTGTTGAGTCCTGGAGCGCTGAGCTGTGGAGAATTTGGTGTCACTATGTCAGTTTTCATCATTCCTGTAATACTTTAGCCTTCTGTTGGTACTGCTTTAACACCCTGATATCTGGCCATAAATCTAAGCCAAAAGTTAACTGTGTAGACTAGATATAAATATTTATTATTTACTGTAGAAATAGAAGGTGCAACATGTTTTTCTTTATTGTATTTAAACATTTTTAAAAACCCAGATTACTCTCCAAGGTGCTTTTTTTGGTACCTGAGTTACCTTGATAGAAATGGTGAATGGAATACTCTGCTGTTTACAGTGCTAATGCCAGTGGGTAACAGACTTCCATAATTCTGGAGTTCTGAAACAACATTAATGGTCAGTAATTGATTCCAGGCTTAAAAGCAGGTTATACCAATTGTAGGGCTGATTCATGTCTTAGGCAAACTAGCTAAGTAAACTGTTACAGTTAAGTAAACAGTACATCAGAATGGGAGGTTTCCTAATCAGCTATGTGCTGACCATTTGCAGCATATCGGAGTCCACATGTCAAGAATGATGAAATGTGAGCAAAGATGGTGGCTGCCTGAAGTCTAATTTCTCCAAAGGGCTTTCTCTTTGAGAAAAGCTTACACTCTTAAGAGAAATGTCGAGTATTTGAAGAGGGAAATTTAGGTAGAATCAGTAATTATTGGGAAGGAACTGGAAGCAAAAGGGAAGGTAGTTCATTTATATTTTCCTGCAAACTGCGAAGCTCTGATTATATTCACACTAATGGGACCGAGCTGTCTCTCTTCTCACGAGCTTGCCTATTTCCAGGTGGTATAATGCAGGCAAGTCATGGATGCAGCTACTTTCTCATGTCACTTAAATCAAAATACAGGCTGTGTTCAGACTGTACTATAGCTCTGATTTCTCTGTGTCCACAGTGTTTTGGGAGCACAGTGGCAACTGGAAGGAACCTCTGATCCTTCCTTTGCTGCCCCAAACAGAAGAATATGAAAGATAGTGTGTCAGTATACCTAATGCAAATCTTCTGTCTTGGTACTGCTTCATTTTGAGACAATCACTACCTTTCTGTAGATCTCAATAGAAAGACATAATACTTTTATTCATTCTTACTGCAAATAACAGTTTCTCCCCAGAATGACTGTTTTAAGAAATCATGCTTTAAAATAATCATTTCAAGGTGTTTTACGTAAGTAATAACAATGCCTATAGAATGATTGATTATTATTTTTAAATAAGAGCTTGCACAATGGCATTGTCTTGTGTGTTATAGTCAGCTGTATTTTTTGAAAAATTCAGTTTTCAGAATACTGGGCTTTACCTTAGATTCCACTATTGTTTCCACTGCATACTTCATTTCTGTAGTTCTCATGTCATTAGAATATATAGATGAAAATATCTGTACGTACCTGTGAGCAAAGCATTTACAAGCTTTTTAAAAAGAGTTTGCATTAACTTCTGTAAGTCTTGGTGCTTTAGGAAATAAAAATTAAGTAGAGTTTTAAATTGAGAGTAGTAAGTGCTATTAAATGTAAAACAAAATAGAAACAGTACATTTCCCCTGCTTGTACTTCTCTCTGTAAAAGTGGTACAGTGTGCTTTTCTGCCTTCCAAAATCTTCAGTATATCATGTCTGAGATTGGTGTGCAGTGTGTTGTGCAGGTCCTGTTTTAGAAAAGCTACATTTCTAAACAACCCAGTTAATTCTATGATTCTATGTTGTTTTCCTGTAGACTTGGCTTTTGGAAGGAATAGAAATTTCAGTTCCTGTTTAACTTATTAAATGTGATGAGTTAGAGGGATACATTCAGAATTTAATAAACTAGTTGGGAACAATGTTTCAGATGAGATGGAGAAGCCAAAATACCAGTTTGAAATCTTGTTTTGTTTTCCCACTAGAAAATTGGCAGTTAAGTGCATTATTTGTCAAAAAAATCTTTCAAGCAAGAAACTGAAGTCAGCTCTATTTGCACAAAAGTAATGATCTAAGATTTTAAACAATTTTCTAATTACTTTCCGTGATACATAATGCATCCCAGAAGCAATAGTTTTAAAAGAGCTTCACTTTTAGGAAAGTGAAGATAAAGACAAAAATAGAGATTGTTGCCAACCTTTCAAATAATTATTTAGAAGCAGAAGTTTGGTAGTGAAGTCTTAAAAGCTGCAATTTTTTTATTGAAGAGATCCAGTTTTCAGCTGAACAGTGTAGTTATTGGAAACAACAAAAACAATAAATATTTTTTAGGAAGAGGAAGCAGCAGATTCATTTTTAAACTGGTTTAATTCCATTATGCATAACTGTTTCAATAAAGAATTTTAATAAATAACTTCAACTTTAATTATTATTGGTTTTAGTTGGTTGTTTTTGTTGGGTTTTTTTTTGTCGGGGTTTGAGTTTCATGAGTACCACAGGATGGTTTTCATGCTTGATCTGCATAATCCCCA